AGTAGGAAAAATACGTTCCTGTTCAGCTCGCAAGCACACCCCTAGATTCCGAGCTGTTTCTTTTTCCTGTTTGGTGTGGTTTCTGTCCTCACCCAGTTCTCGGAAATGTGTGTGTGTTTCCACAACAGTGGAGTACGAAATGCCAAAAACGGAGCTTGTCTGGGCACACCCTTCAAAGGGTTTCTACAGAAAGAGTGGTGTTTGTAAAGGCCCCTAAAACTAACTCTGTGCTGTGGCCAGAGGTGGTATTCAGCTGGTTCTGACCGGAGAACCAGTAGCAGAAATTCTGAGGAGTTGGGAGAACCGGCAAATACTACCTCTGACTGCCCCTGCCCCCATCTATTCTCTGCCTCCCATTGAGTCCCAGATGATTGGCTGGGTCTCCTTTGGTTGCCCTGCGCAGGAGAACGGAGCTGGAAAGCAGGTTAGTGGGGTGGGGAGAGAATGGGGATTTTGCAGTATCCTTCCCTTGCCACGCCCACCAAGCAATACCACTCCCACTAAGCTGCATCCACAGAAACCGCAGTAAACTTTTTTGAATCCCACCACTGCTTAAACCCACCTAACGTGAGTTTGCAGCTAAATATGGCCCAGAACTCTATCTCCAGTTGCAATGAGCTAAGAATCCCTATGGATTGAAAGAAAAAGAAAAATGTATCCTCACCAGGAAGATGAAATATGTTGGGTTTTTAAAATAATGTACAGTAGCAATTAAGTATATGCTTTCCAATGTATTCGATTGTTTCTCTCTGTTCAGTATTTTGTGTCCCAGTGACGACACAGTCTGCGACACAAAAATGAAAGCGAGGAACAATCATTAACAGCAGATAGTGGTCCATCCATACCCTGATATTAATATCTACCAGTAGTGGTGTCTACAACGTGATGCATCCAGGAGCAACCTCCCCTTTATCCAACTGTTCAGAGGTCTCCAAACTTGGCAACTTTAAGACTTGTGGACTTCAACTCCCAGAATTCTCCAGCAGCTACGCTGGAGTCCACAAGTCTTAAAGTTACCAAGTTTGGGGACCCCGATCTAGATTCACAACATTCTCCATGGGACACCAAAGAGTCAAGTTTTTCCTCCTCAGCTCTCAACTGTCCCCGCCCGCCTCTCATCTGAACTTGGAAAAAGCTCACCCCAAACATTCAGGCTGCACTTGAATTTCTGGCTTGGCAAATTTATGCAAAGCTGGGCATGTCAGTAGTTTGCTTCAGCAATGGCTTTGGGCAACAACAAGCAATTCTTGCCAATGCTCAGCTTTTCTGAGCATGAATCACGCTGCAAATCTCAACCCAGCTCTTTAGTGACAGTTTCCTCCTGCCCTATCAAATGTACAGGTACTGTACAGGAGGTATTTTATTTTATTTTATTGATTTATTGATTTATTTATGTCAATTGCTTACAAGATAATAGGTATAAGTAAAAACATAGTTATGAATACATGGATACATATAAGAAAAATAAAAAAAATAAAACAATAGGACAGGGACGGTAAGCACGTTGGTGCGCTTATGCACGCCCCCTACAGACCTCTTAGGAAAGGGGTGAGGTCAATAGTAGAAAGTCTAAAGTTAAAGTTTTGGGGGTTTGGGGAAGAAACCACAGAGTCAGGTAGAGTATTCCAGACATTGACCACTCTGTGGCTGAAGTCGTATTTCCTGCAATCTAGTTTGGTGTGATTAACCTTGAGTTTGTATCTATTGTACTTCGCTCAATAGTAGTAACTGTGAGAGGGATCTTGGAGTCCTAGTGGACAATTACTTAAATATGAGCCAGCCGTGTGCTGCAGCTGACAAAAAAGCCAACCCAGTTCTAGGCTGCATAAACAGAGGGATAGAATCAAAATCATGTGAAGTGTTAATACCATTTTATAAGCCTTGGTAAGGCACATTTGGGATACTGCATCCAATTTTAGTCATCATGATGTTAAAAAAGATGTTAAGAGGGCAGAGAAGAGCAACCAGGATGATTAGGGGACTGGAGACTAAAACATACAATGAACTGTTGCAGGAACTGGTTATGGCTAGTCTAGTGAAGAGAAGGACCGGGGAGACATGATAGCAGTGTTCCAATCTCTCAGGGGTTGCCACAAAGAAGAGGGAGTCAAGCTATTCTCCTAAACACCTGAAGGCAGGACAAGAAGCAATGGATGGAAACTCATCAAGGAGAGAAGCAACTCTCTCCTCTATTCTACTCTTCCCTAGAACTAAGAAATTTCCTGACAGTTAGAACAATTAACCAGTGGGACCTCTTGCCTCCAGAAGTTGTGAATTTTCCAACACTGGAAGTTTTTAAGAAGAGATTGGATAACCATTTGTCTGAAGTGGTGTAGGGTTTCCTGCCTGAGCAGAGGTTTGGACTGGAAGACCTCCAAGGTCCCTTCCAATTCTGTTATTCTATTCTATTCTATTCTATTCTATTCTATTCTATTCTATTCTATTCTATTCTATTCTATTCTATTCTACCGTACCCTACCCTACCCTACCCTACCCTACCCTACTTTATTTTATTTATTTATTTGTTTGTTTGTTTATTTATTTATTTTGACAAGCAATTATAAGATAACAGGTATAAGTATAAACATAGTTATGGATACATGAAATGGATACATATAAGAAAAATAAAATCTACTGAAACATTGAATACTCTACTCTACTCTACTCATATTTTACTAGTAACGATAGCAATAGCATTTAGACTAACTGTATATACCACCTGTAGTGCATTACAGCACTCTCTGAGCAGTTTATAAGATCAGCATATTAACGCCAACGATCTGGCTCCTCATTTTACCGACCTCGGAAGGATGGAAGGCTGAGTCATCCTTGAACCAGTCAGCATCGAACTCCAGACTACGGACAGAGTTAGCCTACAATACCACATTGTAACTATTGTGCCAGCAGGGCTCCTAGTCGTTGGGAGTTGGAGGCTAAGCCTGCAAGATTAGCACTCACAGCCCTGGAGAATGACCCATGGGCCACGCGGGATCTTGGAACACTTTTCTTTAGGACCCTACAAGCTCCTGAAATCACACTTACTGGAATTCAGGAGCATCCCATCACTACAGACCTATCTGTGTTGGCAAATATGCAAGAATGCACACAAACAAGAAATGCAGCGTTTCAGTAGACTGATCCTGGGTGGGGATGGAGGATCGAGAAGACAACAAGATTTGTTATGGGCAGGGAGACTCAAATGTTGAAATCACAAGCCACCCCCCCGCCAAAAAGACCCACCAACCTTAGCTCCTTCATTGTGTAATTGCTCTGCTCCTGTGCTAATCTTGGTTCCCCCCTTTTCCATATTTGTCCACTGACTGTTTGGCTTCGATTAACAATATGTTGCCCATCCTGGCTGTGAATGGCAGGCTACAGATTGCAAAGAGCTGTGTTCAAATCCCAGCTCAGCTTAGCTCTGAACTTCATTGGTGACTTCTGCACATTCTCTCAGTCTAAGTAAAATGAACTGTAGCGCCTTGTGGACTTTTTCTTAATGAGTAAAACAGAAGAAAATAAACAAGATTTATAGTCCCCCCCCCCTATTTATTTATTTATTTATTTTATTTTAATTATAAGAATACAACACAGTGCATCCATTCTGGCATTACAATTGTTATACATATATAAATTGTACTTCACCATTTACAAACCTCTTGTCTGATACATTGTTTACTAATTATTCTAATCATCATAGCTATTTATGTTCCGACCTTGCCTTCTTCTATGCAACCACTGATAGAATTTATTCCACATTTCGTAGTACTCAGATTCCTCCTTGTTTTTTTTTAATTCTAGGGTTAACGTCTCCAATTCTACACTGGCCATAATTTTCCTTATGAGCTCTGTTTCTGGCAGTTATGCTTATTCTTCTTCCAGTATTGCACATATATTTTTCTAGCAACCATCAACCCATGTACTATTAGATACATTAAATCCTTCCTATATCCTTCTGGTATTATTCCTAGAAGAAAAAATTCTGGCTTAAATGGAATATATTCTCCCACCATTTGTTCCACCCATGTCTGGATCAATCTCCACTACCTTTTTGCAGTATTGCAGGTCCACCACATATGAAAAATATTTATAGTTTGATTATTTAGATAGGATAGATATAGAAAGGAGAGAGTCATGATCAACTTTAGAGAAAAGTTTTTCATCCTACTAATAAGGGCCGTAAAGAAAAATGGAAGTGGTATCCTCTTTGTATCTTGTTCCTTTCTTTTCTACTTTTCTCTTACTTTTTCTTTCTTGCACTTTCGACTTTCTCTCTCTCTCTCTTTCTGATTTCTTCCTTTTTATTTTTCTTCCTTTCTTATTCTATATCAGTTTAGATGAGGGTTTGAACTTTGCTTTTAAAACTTTCAATAACATTATATGAAAAATTAAGTAACATTAACTGTGGGATATTAATCCCATAGACCAGTGCCCCTCCCCCAAGCATTTGGGCACCAGGGACCGGTGAGGAAAGAGGTTTTTCCATGGACCAGAGCGGGCGTCGTTTTGCATCATAAAAATACATTCATCATAAATCGTAAGATACAACACTTAGTGATAGTCATAGGATACTAAATAAACAATCAACATAATTCATACTAGGAAACTAAATAAAACAATATAAATCGTAAAAAAAAGCAACAAAGTTATAGTCATAAGTAGAAAAGGAGATAGGTAATAGGAAAGACGAGAATAATAATAATAATACAGTCTTACTAAATAGTTTGATAGTGTTGTGGGAACTAGTTGTTTAGCAGAGTGATGGCACGGGGGGAAAACTGTCCTTGTGTCTAGTTGTTCTGGTGTGCAGTACCCTATAATATCATTTTGTGGATAGGGACCATTCTGACTTTTCCACCTAACCTACAGAGATCCTAATTTCCAGAACAGGTGTGTGCTGTGAGTACGGCTTTCTTGGAACACCAAGAGAAGGCTGAGGAGCATCTGTTTGCCTTCTGCTGCATTTTACAATAATAAACTGGTTTTTATTTCTTCTGTCCTAGTTACGTTTTCGTGTCAAACACTGGAAACTGCACGGTGAGGGAGCCAGTGTGAATCATGCTGTCTCTTGGCGCCATGAAAGGTAAAATGAACATTATGGGACACTTCATCGCAAATTTGTGTAATGTGCTTCCTTTAAACCTGAAGTACTGAGATGCCTTGGAGTTATGCTGCAGGGTTAACTATAAATGTCAACACAACTTGATTACTGTTAAAAATCCAGAAATCAGACAAAACGAATAGAGATGAGTTAGGAGGAGTCTGGAAACGCTTTTAAAGATTACACGTTTTATTAAAAGTCATAAGCTTTTATGAGCTACAGCTGATGGCATCAGATAGAACAATTAAGGATTTAAATTATGTTGGATTTAAATGGTTGTGCAGCTACAAATTACACCTGAGACAAATTAGCAGCCCTTTCTCAGTTAATAATTGTAATGTATTCCAATTGTGTTTATTTGTTGAGACCTCCTGAGATAGCCTCAAAGTTGTTGATGAATGTGAGCTCAGCACTTATGCCAGTCAAGTTTCTCTTTTCCCAAAAACAACCTTGAAATCTTTAAAGCCACTTTTCCTCCTGAATAAACTGGTCAAAACCGGACTGTGTGGAATGAGAAGGTTCCCCAAGACAAGTTTGTAAGACCAAGCTTTCTAAGTCCATCTAATACTCATTGGACTCTCTGTTCTGGAGGGGCTTCCAACTTCTTCTGGGTCTGGTTTTTTTTTTAGATGGCGTCATCCTACCCAGTGAGGAAGACCGGAAACGGATTATCACCCAAATGAAAGTAAGGACGACCCTGAAAGGGGACAAGAGTTGGATCCATCACAAGTCTGATTCTGAGGAGAAACAAAACCACAGTCCACTGTGAGTATGAAAAAACTCTGCACTAATATTTGCTCCAGTTCCTTGAACGTTTTCTTCCCTTGGTAAAAAAAAAAAAAGGCTTCTTTTTACCTACCTCACCCTCAGAAGACATTTCCATGCTCTTCGTGTCCTTCTGGCTCAGAGGAGAGCTCAAAGAACATCACTCAATCAGCGTCCACCTCTCACACACTGATCATGTGGGAATAGTAAAGGTAAAGCTTCCCCTCACACCAACATGCTAGTTGTTTCCAGCTCTAGGGGGCGGTGCTCATCTCCGTTACAAAGCTGAAGAGCCAGCGCTGTCCGAAGACGTCTCCGTGGTCATTTGGCCGGCATGACTAAACGCCGAAGGTGCACGGAACGCTGTTACCTTCCCACCAAAGTGGTCCCTATTTTTCTACTTGCATTTTTACATGCTTTCGAACTGCTAGGTTGGCAGAAGCTGGGACGAGTAACGGGAGCTCATCCCGTTATGCGTGGCGCTAGGGATTTGAACCGCCAAACTGCCGACCTTTATGATCGACAAGCTCAGCGTCTTGGCCACTGAGCCACCATGTCCCTATAGAAATAGTACTTGCCTCAATATTCCACACAGGCCTAAATTGAGAGGAGAGAGGGTGTTAATATAGGGATTAAACCTCTTTAGGAGTGTGGTGTCTAAAAATTAAGGAGGCAGAATGAGGCAAGCTTCTGCAGCTGTAAACTGTGCATAGGAGGAAATTCCACCATTTTGGGTGCAATTGTTTGCTATCTGCAATCTGCTGAGGAGATGATGAAACATCAAAAGGCAGGACAGTGATGTATCATCACACAACCTAGCTACTAAAAACTTGGTGGTGCAAAATTAAATTCTTCCTTTCAAAGCTTAATTTTCAACGCCTTTTCTATCAAATTGAACACAAGCTAAGTTTTTCTTCAGATCAAACTCTACCATTGGGAACCTGTAGCTCATACCTTTGTGGGTTTTTTGACAACAGGATGGGGGAAAAACATCACAGAGGTCTCCCCCAATGGTTTTTTAGCTTTCCAGTCTGGTGTACAATTCTGGGCTTCTCTGAAAGGCCTTCTCAGCCTAGCACTAGCTGAGGTATCCATGCACCTGCTGCTTAGTTGCATGCCCACCTATTCAGTTGTTATCCATATCTATCCAAACATTGTATCTTGGATCCTACTGAACATCCTTAAGGGATCAAGCAGCAGGTATTGCATCTTTTGCAAACCTTGTCCTGTTCCTGCAATTCTTCTTCTTCTTCTTCTTCTTCTTCTTCTTCTTCTTCTTCTTCTTCTTCTTCTTCTTCTTC